ATGTTTGCCATAGAATTTGAAATTTAACTACGCGCTTGTTGAGTTCAATTCAAGAAACTCCTAGCCTCCATAATAATTGAGACCCTTGAAACTGAGTAGGACATCTAAAGTATAACTCAAAAACATAGAACATCTAAAAAAGGACATTCAACTCAAAAAACATAGGACATCTAAAAATTTTCTGAGGGTATGAACGCAGAAATGGAAATAAACGATTAAAGCCGGTTAAAAATCAACCGGTTTTGAAACCGTACTTGATAAAGTACTTTTCGGAAAAGTATTTCGGAATTTTGATTTTAGGTATAAAAATTGTACAGGTCTATATTTGATCAAAATCACTTTATTGGTTTTAAATGTCGTAGAAACTACCTAATTACCAATGTTGGTTTCTTCAAAAATTTTCATTCCTCTAGACATTCCGCATCCAGTTTCAATCGTTAATAGTCAATTATATTATATCATTTGTATCAGTCTTACAAATATTGAAAAAAGTTATATATATTAAATTAATAATCGCTTTTAATTTCTCTTTTTTGAAAACAAGTTATAATAAATTTTGTTAAAATTTAACTAACCACTTATAATCGGTTATTAATCTATCTATTTTTGATATGCTTATAATTGATTATCCATGATTATAATCAAAAATTTTTGTCCAAACTTTTAATTTAATCCCTACGATTATAATCCCTTTTTTTGCCCTTTTTTTCGTTGACCTGTCACCTAAACTGCTTATAATTATTGCTTTTAGCGGACATCGGTTTATGTGAAAAATGAGAAAATCGTTTTAGCAGTGTTCAATTCAATTTAATTTAATATTTTTATCTCTTTTTCAATTCTCGGTTAAGTTTGTTTCATAATGCTCATTTATAGTTTTTTTTGAACACCAAAATACGAGCACTTTTTTCAAAATTGATGACTCTTTTAAAAGAGTTGATTTTGACTTACCGCAACAATCTTTTGTTTCGTTGAAAAACTTTGCGTCGATATGAACCAATTCTTTTTGGTACTTTGTTAGTGACAGGAAAACAATAACCCTCAAGATATAAAAAAATATACATAATTTTGGACGAATTTTAATCGGTTATTTAAGTTTGTATGATCTATAATAAGCTGTAAAGGAGTATAAAAGATTATATTTTCTTGAACAAGATCACGATTACAATCGAGTACAAATCCTTTAAACACCTAATTCTGGTAATTACAGTCAAATATAATTGTGTAGAAATCAGCATGAAAAACCGATTACTTCAGCTTAAAATTGGATGCGGGATGATATTCTTCAAAGCCAGGTAAACAGTTCAAATGTTACTTTTATTTCTTTTTCTGACAAAACAAACACTAGATCCCATAGGTTGACAAAAAAAAACATTTGTAATCAAACCCCAATGCTTATCAGCAGTAGCAGATTTAGGGGAGGGAGGCGGGGGATTCGATTTCCTGCAGACACAAAGGTTCCCACCTTTTTTTACTAGTTTGAGATATCTATTTTTAGCTGACTGATCTTAAAATTGTTCTAAAGGTTCTTTTGCGCGGCGCAAATTTTCCAAAAAAAAATGCCTAAAAGCTTTTCAAAAAATGCCTAAAAACGCCTTTTTTGACCTTTCTTCAAAAAAAATAAACAGAAAGTTTGGTCAAATTAGGGTCTTTATAGTGATTTAGGAGAGCTCAGAAATCGATTCGGTAGACCTAAAAAAAAAGGTCGGCAAAACGCAACAAAAATACTGGATTTGTTGCAACGAACAGTATTGTTTAGGTTATCGAACGTACGCAAGCCAATAAATTGAGATACAAACATTAAGTAAAAGCACATGGGGGTGGGGATAAATCAATTTGAAAAAAAGCGTACATTTCACCTGAAGCAAATACAGCAAACTATTCACTGAAGAAAAAGGAGAAAAGACTGAACTGATGAAAGGTTTAGATCCATAAACACCGAAAACAAAATTACGTGCAATAAAACTTGATTTTATTTTGATTGCATGCACTTTTTTTGTTATTTAAACGACTGTGCTTATTTAGGCAGAGAAGAAAAATTGAAAACCCGTAAAAAGTTGCAAAATAGTTGGAAAGTAGTTGAAAAACTGTTGGAAAACAGTTTTTTTTCTGGTGTGAATTTTAAATTTAAAAAAAATAGTTTGAATATTTTTGAAGTATTGTAGCTTTTTGTTTTTTTTTGTTGATTTTTCAGCACTAAGAGTGATGTTTTCGCTAGATTTTTTCTAACAAAAATTAGAAGAGGAAGTTATAACCCTGTTCTCCTCTATTCCATTTTTGCTTGAAAGGTAAGTGATACTTAAGAAAACAAGAATTGTTTGAATTTGTTTCACAGAGTAGGCGTTAGTAAGCCTCAAATGATTTGTATTGCTTCAATTCCTATTTTTGTTAGGCTTCAGCAATACATCGTATACGGTCAGATGCGGGTGCTCTTACTAAAAGTCACTGGAACTTTTTTTGTTTTACAAAACATTATCTCGCCGAAAAAAACCATCGAAAATCTTCAGCTTTATCTGATTAGACTAGATTGTGAACCGATTATTAGTGCACCAACGAATACATGATTGAAAAAGGATTCGAACATTGAATGCTTTAACCTACCAAACTAATTTAAAAAAAAACAATTTAGGAAAGGATAAGAGACGGGGTGGAGTTTGCTTTTTTGTTCACAATGTCAAAATATTTCAGAACATTAGTACTTTTACCTCACACCAGTATCATATTTTGACTATCAAAAATAAATGAAAAAAACCACAGTTGATTGTTAACAGTGGTTCTTTTGAAACCTGGAAAAAATAAAGGGCCAGAAGATTATCACATGTTCTTGATAAAGACTTCAATATTCATCATTTAAAATCGCAAATCAAAAGTACATGCAAGAACAGTCTTAATGCATTTAATCTGAATTGTCAAAACAATTCAATATCAACTCGTCAAACAATAGTTCAAAAAGTTGCATAAAAGATGGGTACTCAAATTGCGCTACAGATTTTAAGGTGTCGGCTACATTAATTACAGACCAATCAACAAAAATTACGTACCTGAGAGAAAGAAAAAGTGAGTCTTCTGATAACAAATTCCTGAACAGAAACATGCAAAGTTTAGAACACGTTAGATGACAGGAAATATCCCAAAAAAATTGATATTTTTAAAACTGCATGATTTACAAAACAAAACGAAGAAAATAAAATTACATATTGGAATGAGTTTTAATCAAAGAAGTACACAAAACAAAACACTTCGTTCCAATAAAACTAGAAACAATCAAAAATAAATCTGTATTGGTAATGACAATAAACATGTCTGGCAAAAACGAAATTGTTTCCTATTTATATTAAGTCAGGAAGTCACAATCATAAAGCGAAAACTGTAAAAACTAGAAATATGTTACAAAAACTGATCATCAAGAAACAGAAACACTTTCATAGAAAAAAAATTAACAAACTAAACTTCAAAGTGATGCAAATTCCAACACAAGAGCAATGTCAATACTTTAAGAGAAAAATTGAGTAAAAGCTAAAAGTCTGCTTATCTGAGCCAAGATAAAATTGAATACTTTAATAAGTTTCTTTTTGCAATTGGCTGAAAAAAATCATTGCAAAAAAAATTTATCAGACACGATTTCTTCAAAGTTTGGTCCATCTGAAAACAAGCAAAAAATCTTCTCAAATTATTGATTTTTTCGATATATACGGTGTTTTGACTAAAAAAGCAAATTGACTTCAGACCTAAAAGGTCAACAGTTTTCTTACTTGACTTTCAAATAAAACAGAAAATTTATACTTGGTATGGCTTTTTTGTATTCAGTCAATTATCGCAGATCAAAGTAAATTTTTTATACCCCATTGTTGATATCAACTCCCTGAGTTCGAATGTATTCAAACGCCAATCATTATTCTGAGAGATTGAAAATTACCAATTTGGGTTCGTTTTTTTACTAAATTTTGCACATTTTGAAGATTTTAATTGTAATGCTGAAAACGTAACGCGAATTATTTATGCGTGGCGACTTATCCAGCCTAACAAAATTGTTTCAATTTGATTTTAGGTAATCTGATTGGTCGTATTGATTCTGTACGACCCAAGTTTTCCCACTTGATGTTTGATATTCTCCCCAGTTTGTATTTTCTCAATATTCGATTTAGCAAAAACATATTTCAAGAGCCAGTCGAAACAATCAGGTCTTTGTCTTGATATACGAGCAGACTTGTTGTTCCGACTTTTGATAAAGTGACGGGAAATTATTCCTCGGGGTAGTTTTTTTTTCTCCAGACATAGTTTGACAATTTAACTAGCATTTTTTGACGGAATTTTTGGTCGAAAGGTATTTGTTGTCATGGAAAGTTTTGTCCCCTCTCGTTGTTTTTTTGTAAAGTTATAGGGTTTAAAGATTGCCTGTTCGACCGATTTGAGGCAAATAACTGTCGATATATTTCGGGCTATTAACAAGAAGCCAGGGTTTTTACCCGTCTTAGAAATCGCGCCAAACTTAATTAGGGCATTCTAAATAGCGTGGTTATAATTTGCTACAAGGAAAACGTTTCACTTGGTTTTTCAGGTATCGTGTGGGATGATTTTCAAAAAAATCTCAATTTTTTTACAATATTTTTTTTGAAAGTTTTATCTTTTCGTTTTGAAGCAAACACTATTCCATAGACCTTAAGAGGCAGTCGGATTTTTGAGGGCTTCCCGTTGATACGGACTGTCTAGTTATCAATGTGTTATCAATTTATTATCAATTTTTATCCTAAATTTGACCTAATTTGTGTAAAGCAAACCACACAATTTCAAAACAAAGCGGTTCAATTGCTTTTTGATCGTGGTTGGTTGGGTTAGTTCCCAAAGAAAAGTTAGCGCCCCAAATTTCTTGCCTAAGGGTCTAAATTATCAGTTGACATCGAGATTTTTTGATTAACACTTAATTGCACCTGACCAGTCAATTTGGGAAACTGATCGTTAGAGCTTCACTCTGAAATAAAAACGTGATAATAATCTCGCTAATTAAATTCTACGTTCGGTTTCAATTGCAAAAATAAACTCTGATTAAGTTAGAATCTGTAAGTAAGTCAGTTTGAATGTATCATAAACATAAGAAATTAAAATCTAAAAAGATGAATGAATCGTCTCGGTTGTATTCTTTTGTTTCGTCTTGTCATTCATTTTCTTTTCTTTGTTTCGTCAATAAGTTTGATCAGATATTCATGACTGACAAACATGCAAACGTTCCACAATACGAGTCGACATCCATTGAAAACCACACCTTTGTAAAAACCCTTGAACCCATCTTTGACCCAAACGTCACGGGTGCAGCTGAAAACGTTGCTATATTCGCAATGCTTTGTTTTGTTCGAATATACAGTTTTGATCACATCCGAAGGCGTCGCTACGATCGTAGCAACAAACCCGGTGAAAAGGGCCGAAGAAAAATAGAGAAAAAATCCTTCCTCGAAAACCTTATGGTCTTTGAGATAAGTTTTCGTGACATCAAAGGTCCCGACTTCAGCCCCCGTGACGGCCATACTTCGTTTGGCGCTCGGAACCGTTCCTCGCCACAAGCCCTGCTTAACCCCTTCATATTTCAATATTTCTGTATAAGCTTGAAATGACGTTTTGTAACGAGAAGGATTGGCTTGGCAGCGGACTTTGACGACATCTGTAGGCTGTCCTACACAAACAGCCAAGACACCTGTTGTGCAGCCCGACAAGAACTTGATAGACATTGGCATTTTTGAGGGATTATTTGAGACGTTGAAAAGCTCGCAGTATTTGTCTCTGACTTGCTCGTAGAACCCAATTTTGACTGAGTTCATCACCATCTGACGTTGCACAGCGGCCAATGAGCCTGCCCTTCCGCCGTAAAATGCCCGCGCACCCCCATAATTGTAGGTTGCCTTGACACGTGACATGGCTCTTTGCAGGGGGTTCATGTGAGATTTGGGCTCTCCGGCTACCATGGCGCGTACTTTCAATGTGTCAACCGGAAGGGTTACCAGTTCTGCAATTATTCCCGCTACTCCGCCGCTAGAAACTCTCGCAATTTGAACAAGCTTTGAGTCGTCTTTGTGGTGCGACGTCATCTTGAGAAATATATGTAGGAAAATATCTTAATAAATTAACAGTTTAACAAAAGAATAAGTTAACAAGTTTCGAGATGTTGCGTTGTGCCTTACAAGGAATCGGTGCCAAAGCTTAGCTCACAGTTCAATTTAAGTCTGAAATTAGAGTCACCTCGATTAAATTCGGTTGACCGTATATTGCTTTAGCTGTGTTGTAATTTTCTAATTTGAGTTTTTAAACCAAAAAGTCATTACAAAATGTGCGCCAGATCTATTTTTATATTTATGTGCATTAATAAGTTGAGCCATGTGTTACTCTGTTCACGATATAAGTTGATAATCTTCAACAAAAACAGACATAAAGTTAGTATTTTCATACATCCTTGTCATCAATGAAACAAGGTATGTATTTTTTTCTGAGCTGAGAGGTCATTTTTGAGCTACTTAAGCAAGTAAATAGAATGGTTGATATTTTAGAATTTGAAAATACCACAAATTGTACAAAATCACGAGCTATCTTTAAATATCGATGACATCATATATGTATTTTTTATAAATTGTGATTACGGACTTTAATGCTTATTTTAGTCGTTTCGAGATATCAGCACAATTTTTAAACGCTCAGCAACCAATTTTTATCAAATGACAATAACTGAATGTTGTTCCGAGCATTGAAAATTTGTAATCTGTATTTTGAAAACTTTTTTGTTTTGAAAATTTTCTTGTTTTTCTTGTCATTTTTCTTCAAAAACTGTTTTCCTTTTGGCATATTTTACTATGACTTTCGAAGATGCCTAAGTTCTATTTTTTCTTTCAGATCTTTTTTATCACAGCACGCAGAAATAACGACACTCATTTGAAAAAAAAATTTTCTACTTTCATAAGACTCTATGGTCGGAAAATTCTGTGCTACATGCACAGTAGCCGGCTATCCTTGTATTAATTTTATTTTGTCTGTAAATTTGTTTCTTTTTGCTTGTTGATTTTGGCTGTAGATCATGGGTATAATTTCCGGCCACAGTTTAAATTTTTGAAGACGTTGGTGCGCTGCTTTAATTTTTTTCATATCGAATTTACCAGTAGCGGTTTTAGGGCCGGGCGGAGGGGGGGGGCAATGTTTCTTTTTCAAGGATTCTACCCCCTGCTCACCCAAAAGGTCCCAAAAGGTTCTCAAAAAAAGTCAACAAAACTTTCGAAGTTTTTCTCAAACTCAGCCCCTCCCCTCAAGAATATAGACAAAATTAGTTGTTCTACAAGCTATTTGTAATTTTTTAACTTAACAAAAATATTTACTCAAAGATATTTTTAACTTTCTAATTTTACAATAATTTTTACTCAAAGGTTTTTCTAATTCTACAATTTTATACCAGTAAATACTCAATTTTTTAATTTTTAAAATTTTCAAATTTTTTTAAAGCGTAGGGGAAAACGATTTAATTTGAAACAGTCTGTAAATTTGGTTTTGGGGGCAGATAGTGCAGTTATGGACATGATGCGCAAGGCTAGTTAATGCAAGGCTAGGAGTCAAAGCAAAGATGTAAAAGTGCATGCACATAACACAGAACACCCGATCCGAGTGCTCCGCAAAGTTTGCTACTCCCGATTCGAATTGGTTATAAGGAGGCCAGCATATTTTTCAGCAACAAGTAGTTGACTCCGGAAAACGAAATAGGTTCAAATGATGTGGTCGCGTGCTGACTGGAGAACCAGCACACGCAAAAATACTCGGGAACCACGATGTTGGAAGAAAACAGGGTATGCGCAGAGACTCGATTCAATCTCTTGATTGAAACGCGAATTAGCCAGGAGGAAACCTCACCTTTTATGGGATAAATATATAATGTCGTCTAGCAGTGATTCAATAATTTTGAGGAAGAGGGTTGCAGTATTTAACGGAGGTCCGTGTTCCTGAAAAAAGCTACGATTTGCTATGCGAGTAAAGTTTCAGGAGATGATGTTTGCGTCAGATTTACAAAGAGGCGGCGAAGCTTCGTTTCGCGCACACTAGCGAAAACACGACAAAAAGTAGCTCTAGAACGTGCAAAAATAAAAAACAAAAATAAGTATCGAATTAGCAAAAAATTCGACTGGTCTAGGATTCGATCTGCGACCTACTGCAATCAAAAGATTTTGAGTCTCACGTACTAACCATTCAGTACGCATAACCACCGACAAACACGAGTCACAAATAAAGCAGCTATATATGTTAATAACTTGTCAATGCATTCAGCAAAAGTGGTACCAAGTACAAATACACTCAATTTTGCAAGTAATAATTTGGATTATCGGAAACTGAAGGCATCGCCGCACTGGAGTTCCATGGATAATAATCGATTATATTGCCATTTTTTAGTCAGTATCTATAAAATTAGAAAAACAATCGCTAATAATCTAACAAAAATGGATTATAATCTTGTATTTTTTAAATCAATATAATTCATTATAATCGATTATAATAGTTTATAATCCATTAAAAATGGATTATAATCATAGTATTTTTAAAATCATTATATAACATTATAATAGATTATAATCGATTATAATGTATTTTTGAAACGAAATTATGAATTTTGCAATTTTTTTTTCAAAGTTAATTCATTTCTTGTTTCGTACAGTTGCTATGCATTACGTTTCATAATTTTTTACTTTTCACAAAAGATTTTATTTGTTTATGTTTTCTCTACTTTTTCTATACTACGTAAGCTTCGTCAACACTTTTAACAACCCCCTTTCCCAGTTTACCCCCGCCACCTCACAGTTTATCACCCCTCCCAAAGTTTAACAGCCCCCCCCTTGCTAAAAAATGGGGGGGGGAGGTTGGAGCAGAAAACTTGGGTGAGGGGGTTAAAATGGAGAAAATGTAAGCAAACTCGGGGGGGGGGGGGAGTAAACTGTAACTGGTGGGGAGAGGGTTGGCTTTGGGGGTAAAAATATGGGGGTGAGCGTAGGGATAAACATAGGAAGTGGGGAAGGGGGCAAATGCGGATGTGGGCAAAGCGAGGGAAGGGGGTTAACTTGTGTAGTTTAAGATTGCGAGTAGGCCGTGAGTAACGCAGAAATGTTGCAAATTTTTCAAATGATTTTGCAGAAAAATGTGAAGAAAATAATTCATTATAATGGATTTCAAATGGATTATAATCCATTATAATGGATTTCAATCGATTGTTTAATTGGGAAAATAATCGATTATAATAACACAATATAATCGATTTCGTGGTCTAAATTTGCTACAATAATGGATTATAATGACAACATTTTAGATAACAATTTTCCATTATAATCGATTATTATCCATGGAACTCCGGTCCGGGTCCACATAAACTTTGCATGTAACAAATCGCAAAGCATAAAACCACTTTATGTATAAATTATGCATTTCAAAAATATATTGAGTTAGAAAGTCTCATAACAGTTTTTATTTTTGTTGTTGTTTGAAACAAATAAGCTTTTTTTTCGGTTCATTGATGAACTAAAAATGCATCAACTGGGTTAACTTAATACCATTCGAATTTCAAAGCACATGCTATTCAGAGGCTGCAAAGGTGCCCCAAAAGTTGCACTAATTTTTGCGAATCAGGTTAGAAAAAAAGGTTATCAGGGATCGTGCGCGATTCTTGTGAGGTAAATATTGTATATCTACATTTTCTAAGTAAATAATTCAAATTTAATAATACATTAAGTTGACGCTAGCATTAAAAGGTACTTTGAAATGGGCTCTGTGTTCAGGTAGGAAGAGGGGGGAAGTATATTCAGTAATTTCTACATTCAGTCATGTTGGTCTGCTTCGATGATAGAACTTCTCAAAGGCAAATGAGCAATGGCAGCCCCTTTACAGCAGCCTCCTCAGCTTCCTGGAGATCAGCAAAAGATGTTGTGTAACAAAAAGTTTAGGTGGACCTGGGTAAAAAATGGAGCTATTGAGACTCGATTCAATGCATATAGATTTTGAAAGTACTTACCAGCATTGAAATACAACCCCCCAGCTTTACGTCACATAGTGTTTAATTTTTTTGATTGGATTTTTCTGCATGCAATGAGGACTCCGCCACTTTTAGTCTCTTTTTTAAAAAGACAGTCAGGGATAAGTTCTGCAATTCAGTAACTACAGTTGAAAACAGTTTGAAAAACAGTAGTGGAGTTCGCGTTTTACTCAAAAGCTCCAATTTCGCACAAAATATATGTAATGCCGTTAAAATTGAATAATTTTAGCCCTCCGTTTGCTGGTGGGATCGGGATATGGTCACCAGGCAAGCGTATAATCGTTTTTGGTTGGAACCTATACAGTCGTTACCTTACTAACAAGTCTAATTAAAATCACTAGCCAGTATCCTATCCAAAATCACTAGTCACTACGCATAAACACAATTTTATTCGAAATTCAACTAGCAGCTATACTAGGTTGCACACCTCCGCTAGATACAAAAGCAATACGTCAGTGCAAAATTCTACAAGATACATTACGAAGCATAGCTGTGTACTTTTTGCAAATGCGGGTTCGGTGATTTTAGACCTGAAAAGCTGAAGTCGCCCATTCCACAGCATTTTTATTTTAATTTTGGCTGCGTATTATGTGACCAAGGGCTAAATTATGGGCTGCGGAGTTCGTGATCAAAAGTGTGACCAAAACAGCGGATTCCGTGACCGAATGTTGTACATTGCGATGAAAAAACACGGAATCCGCAAGCAGCCGGAGACCGATTCCGTTGTTTTTGCTCCTAAGCATAGTTCTCTGGTACTTCATTGTTTTCTGATTCTTAAAGTATAGTTTCAACATGCAAATAAAGTCTCAAGATTAACCTTTTATTGAAATTTATTCTTTCAACTTTTTCTATTATTTTTTAAAGTAGTCTTTGATTCTGAAGTTTTCCAGTTGTCGGTTCAATCTTTTTTTTGCTAAAACTTTTTAAATATTAAGAGGCAATTCAAGCATATGCAGAACTTTATCAAAGTCACTCAGCATTCAGTGGCATGTATGTAATAGTAAATTGTGTTAATACGCGGCATTTATGTCATCGTACTGTTATCATGGTGGCATTTTTGTTCACTGCTCAGACGTTATAGAAGACATGCCCGAGTTGAAATCCCACCAACAGTTATAGTAATAGTTATAGTTATAACTGTAGTACCCCAGTCCAGTGATTGCTACTTTTCAACCTTAATTCATGTAGAAGTCCCATCTGCGATATCTCAGAGCTTTTTCAGTATGATTCGGTACAAAAAAAAACTAAAGAGCTTAAACTTAAGAAATTTCTTTAACACTTTGCTTGTGTAACTCATTATCGTAACTTTTAAACAAGAGAGTGAGTCCGTAACCACTGTCAGATCAATAGGAAAATTATGTATGACGGGTTTGCGAAAAAAAGAACGACGCTTCCCGTTTTTTAGGTCTCGTAATGAATGCTTACAAACATGGTTGGCAAACATACAAACCAACTTAAAAACATAATGCTTAGTGCAACATCTTTAGTGCAAAAGTCTTTAGTTTATAAGTGGGTCAAAATTGGTAATCCAAAAAATGTTCACATAGAAACCTGATATTTCCTTATTTTTAGCAGCGAAAATCTGATAAGTTTTGGAAATATATGCTTTTAAGATCCAATGTAAAAACTTGGATATTGCTTTAAGAGTTGAGGTGTAATGCGAATGAATGGTTCATCCAATTTTAAATAGGCCGAATTAAATTTAGCCCAAACTACTTATTTAGCCAATCTTTCGCGGGCGAAAACAACTATCATCTTCACATCGAGATGTGTTGACGGTTGGAGCGCGAGAGATTACGCCCTAATAACTGATAAAGCAACAGAATGAGTCGAAATAACCAAGCATTAATACCAGAGTTGAACTGAGCCAAATGAAATAGAAGCTGAAGAGATAAATAATACACCAAATAACTCTGAGAACTACAACATGCTACCAGCGACAGAAGGGGGCGAATCAGTAACCCACTCGGCAATACTCTTTCAAAAGCTTTAAACTAGAATCTCGTCGCGGCATTGAGGTACTAGATACGCTACAAGAAACTCGGATCATAACTCCACGAACTCTGAAACTATTTAGGAGAAAGATGTGGCCGACCGACACTAAAACTTTTCTAAAGGCGCCTTCGGCGTCAATACATACTTAACTTTTAGGGGGACCGCGCGCCAAAAAAACGCATTTTTTGGCAAAATTTTCCAAAAAGTGACCAACACGGCTTTTTTGACCTGTTTTTTCAAAATTTTGCCTGCGAATTTGGCCGAAACAGCGTCTTTTTAGTGCTTTAGGAGAGCTCAGAAAATCAATTTAGGTTGACCAAATTGATTTTCTGAGCTCTCCTAAAGCACTAAAAAGACGCTGTTTCGGCCAAATTCGCAGGCAAAATTTTGAAAAAACAGGTCAAAAAAGCCGTGTTGGTCACTTTTTGGAAAATTTTGCCAAAAAAGGCGTTTTTTTGGCGCGCGGTCCCCCTAAAAGTTAAGTATGTATTGACGCCGAAGGCGCCTTTAGAAAAGTTTTAGTGTTGGTCGGCCACAAATGAATTTCTTAAGAAGTACCAAAGGTGGGACTCTCGAAAAAAAGCGACGGAATATTTGTGTTTGGGGTGATTTTTTCTCCATACAAATTTCAATTTTTTTATCTAGCCTTTTTTGACAAAATTTTTGTATAAAGTCTGAAAGCTGTAATGCCCAGAGCTCAAAATTAAAAAGATATTTCACTTGTGACATTTTCCCTCAAAGTTGGAAAAGTTTGAATGTGGATCTATTTTGACTACTATTATAAATATACAAATAAAACATGCACAACATTTTTCGTCCTTTTTAAGCTTTAGCGGCAAAACAAATCATTGCCAATTGCAGGAAGCCAGAAATTTCTTCTTTTAACAGGCTCAAAGTAATTCACTTAATACATAAATTGCGTGTGAGGGATAAAAAAATAGAAACTTTTTCGTTTTTAAAGAATTTTTCAGAAAGCTTTAACTTTCGTCGAAGGACAGACGACACGTTCTGAACTTTGCCCTGATACGATCAGTCTTGTTGCTTAAAACACTCTCAAACTATGACTTATGGTCCGTTTTTAATTCTTAGCTGCAAATTAAGACTCTTTAAACTCAAGGTGGTCACGAGTGATATCATATCGAATCCGTTTATCGTGACTCAGATTATGTAAGAAATCAAAATAATTCAGTTTCGAGAAAAACTACTCTGATTTTTCCCGTTGTTCAAAATAAATTAGAATTTTTTTGGAGGCTGACCTCACGCAACAATTAAAACATTATTTTAGTAGAAAATGTTTTTAATCTAAATCAATTACCCTATACTGAAAAAAAAAATTACTAGTATTCAGAAAAAAAATAGAACAATATTTTTTGATAAAGCTAAAAATTTATTTTCTGAAAACAGAGTGGTCGGAACAATCTCTGCTTTGTGCACAGCAACCTGCTTTCCTTGGTGTATTCAAAGTACAGCTACGAGAATGCAATTTTACCACATGTCAAGGTGTATCAAGTGATTCTAACTTGTTTCTAACAAACTTCTTGGGCTCGAGGTTGTAAAAAATGAGACATACTAAATGGACAGTCTCATTCCATAAAAACACAAACCTCTTATTTCCTGAGCTTGATTTCACAGTAAGTGGTACTTTCTACTAATAAGTACAGGAATAACTTGACAGGCTGCTTATTTCCAATTAGGAAAATAAAACATACGCACCTCATTAAAACAGCGGTAAGGCAATAAACTTTTCCACTTAAACCTGCTCCGAATAAATGCCCGAAGCTGAGAACTCCCAGCTACCTACGTACTATGTACGCTTGAAACACAACAGTATGAAAGGGTTGGTATATTGTAGGTACTTAGCAGAGCAGAAGTTGCAAATGAAATCCAATTAGCCAGTTTCACCTACCAAAGGAAAACCAATAAACGTGTGGCGAAAGTTTTTATTTAATTTAGCTCAGATTTCAAAACTTAAAGTCTTTCATTTCGCAAACTTGACATAGTTTACAAGCCAGATTGATGTGTAAATTCCGATATTTTTCGACACTAATTGCACAATACGATGTAATGTTTGTATGAAATTTAAAATTAGAAAAACAAAAACATCTCTTGGTTTTGTTCTACTGATATTAGATGAGAAATTAAACAAACTTGGCGCTTTTTGTATTTTCCTCTCTTAATGTTTGTTAATTTTATCGGTATTATGTGAACGAGTCTTGAATTGATGCTATTAAGACACCACAACTTGACAGAAAATTTAGTCCTAGTATTACCAAACTGTTTGAATTTCATTCACGAACTTGCAAAATGGATTCTGCAACTACAAACCATGATCAAATGTTACCAAGAACCGACAACAATGAGACCGATATTAACGTTTCTTCTTTTCACCAACAACACACGACTGACTTGTTACGTTGTGTTCCAATTTCTCTCGGACCTGAAAATATGCCTACGAATATGAGGACTCTTATTCAGAAGCTATGCGAGCAAATTTACATGCAAAACGTGATCATTGCACAACAGTCTGTTTTGCTCCGTCACAATATCCGATTTCCCAGACCTCCAAATTCAGATAGAAATTCTGGTACAGAAGCTGCAAGCGAACTGCCATTGCAGTCAAGCCTCGGTTCATTTACCCAACTGCATGACAAAACCAGCCAAAATAGCGATGGTTGCGGCCATCCGACTTTTTCGCCAGCCGGTAAGATAATATGATAAGAAATGCTAACAGACAGAACTCGACTATTTTCTAAGTTTCTCTCACTACTAAATTATTAAATTCAGTATTCGAGTAATTCAACACCATCGTAACGGATAATAATATTTCACTTATCGACCATTGCTTTGTTTCGAACGACCAAAAAATTACGTAAATTCGTACCAAATGCCTTTCAACACAGACCAATATTTGCTTTCATACGAAACATTAAATTCTTGCAAGCCAAAAAATGAAATCATTCGAATTGAGACAAAAGATTTCCAAAATTTTAATCGTGGAAACTCAACGTAGACCTTGCATTTTATGATTGGTCAAAAAAGTATGAAAAATCCTCCGGATCACAAACAATTGCCACTTTTGGGATTATTGTGGGAAAAATAATAAGTGGGTATGCTCCATATCGCGCAAAAACTATAAATCAGAAAATGGAAACCAATAACAAAACCATGGATTGATAAAGCCTTGATGACTTTGATAAACAAACATAGGTAATTCCATAAATGAAAAATCACTGGCTTTGAGTGCGCTCAGAAAATACAAAAAAGTGAGAAATTTGGTCAACCGAAAATTCGCAACCGCATCACAAAGTTATCACATAGAAAATTTTAGAAAAGTTTTAGTAATTATTCCCGAAAAAGGTTTGGAAAATGGCAACACAAATGATGTTATTGAAACAGCAAATAACTTGAATCAACTTTTTCAAAAATTAGGTATTCTTAATGGTGAACATATACCCCAAAAACCTATAGAAAAAGGCAACACTTCAGGGTTTGACTTTGGTGCGGCACAAGAAAAAAGTTACAAAAAAATAGATAACTACAGTTAAATAAATCACCATGGCCAGTGGAAACCAAGTTTGTTGCTTCCATTAAGAGAAACTTGCTATCGGAAAACACCTCCAAATCGCAATAAATGAACGTATAATGCAAAACCACTTTCCATCATTCCTCAAAGAAGCATATTCAACACCTAATTTTAAAAAAAACATAACCACAGATTCCATCGACGGTTGTGTGCCAAACGCGCTTTTGAAAAATCTCGAGAGCTTACTTTATAAACAAAGTATTGAATATCTGAAAAAATAATTCATTATCTAAGTCCACCAATTCAAATTTTCGGAAAACAAATCCGCGACTGATGCAGTTATCCTTTTTACCGAAAATAATTGTGAGAACATGGATAAGAAAAAAGAAAACAAGTGCACTTACTCTAGATCTTGCTGATGCGTTCATTCCATTTCATTTAGTTTTATTAGAAAAAAATTCTAAAATATGGTTTACCCAATACTGCATCAAATCTCCCGAGGGATTTTTTCTACAGACAGACAGCAATGTGTAAGTCTTCAAACTCAATATTCTGACTGGAAAACACTTCAGTCGTGGTGTACGAGATACTGTTTTGGGACCATTGGTTTTCACTCTTCATGTAAATGCTTTTACCAACCAAAAAAACAGAAACAAGAATTCAGTGCAATTTGCTGCTGATACAGTTATCCATTTAGAGTGACTTCCAAATTACACCTAAGACTGTCAAATCTAGAAGCACTAGAAAAAGTGAACGAAAATGTGAACGAAAATAATCTTGTTCCTAATGCTGATAAATACAACACTGACTTTGAAGAGAATAGTTTAGAAAGAAATTGTTTATAGAGAAGACACAGTTTACGCAAAGAAACATGCCAGTTTTCTTGGCGCGCTAGTGGAAAAAAATCTTACTTTTTCAGCTGTTTACGCAAAATGGTTGTTGCAAGTAATTCATTCTACTCCGCAGAAAAAAATGATGCACGAGATCTACTTCTCAAGTGTAAGGGTTTATCAGCCGTATTATTCATTAGCCAATACTGCTTGACTATAATGTTCGATGTGGCGAAAACAAAGTCAGACAAAAAAAATTGTTAAGCTAGAACGCCTGTGAAAGAGTACCTGTGAAACAACACGAACGCACAAAACAAATAAAACAAAGTAGGTTCCTGAAAACAAATTGGGGAAAGGAATATATAGCAAACAATAGTTGTAATAAATGGAACAATTGAAACGTAAAGCTAAGAAAAGTTAAATCTAAACAAAAAATTGAATTTGAACTTAGTTACTTTTGATAAAAATACATGAAAAATTTCTATTGGTAGATCCATTATTCCATTAGTTCTTTTCGAGATTATTTTTTGTATCTAATATTAGTATTATCTTATTCATTTTTATACACATTGTATTTGCCGATTAACATGCCGGTCTAGTTGTTGATTTTTAACTTAATATGATAGTTTCATTTTGTAGATGCAAGTATGTTTAAACAAGTGGCTATTTTGAAATAAATCGATCAAAAACTAAAAAAAACTTCGAGGTAAAGCCACGTCTTAACGTTTTCTTGCACAAAAAATCTCAATACGTCTATTTATCTGACTGCGAGAAAATACTCTACATAAAACTTCAGTCTCAAAAACCTCATCATATCAATCAAAAACATGCTCGATATTTGTCAAAAAAGCATGCAAAAAAAGACAAGCCAAGCAAAATCTGCAGATTCTGAAATCTAAAACAGTTAGATTTTTTACCGCAACATTTGTAATTTTAAGACGTCAAATGAAGTACTGAAGTAGAAGAAATAAATTATATGAGAAAACATTGACTGAATACGCCTATGAAATGAATGTTGGCTTGTCTTTTTTTGCATCCATTACTAACCGAAAACTGGTAGATGTAATGGATAAGGTCGCGCGGTGTGCATGAAGCATGGCATTGACAAAAAAGCACATGTTTGACCAGCTGGCCGCTTTAATTTGGCGAAAAGTTTGGGGCGCGCGTGAAACAGGGTTCTCCACTAATTTAGATTGTTGCCAAACTGATTCTTAATTTGGGATGCTGTTTGTTTCGTTTTCAAAAATCGCATCAAATTAAGAGTAGCGCAAAAGTTTCGATTATATTTTTTATAGAACTAAATTTTCTTTTTTCAAATTTGGGCGGTTTTTGGGATAACGGACCAAAATTGTCTTCTAAAATCGAAAACCAAAATAAAACAAGGATAGTCGGTTACTGTGCAAATAGCGCAGAATGTAACGACCAGTCTAAAAAATTTACTACAAACTATTTTTTCAAATTGGTGTCGTTTTTTCGGCGTGCTGTGATAAAGGAATCTGAGCGACAAAATAGAACTTAGGCATTTTCGTCAGTCATTGTAAAATATGCAAATTGGAAAAAAATTTTTGGGGTTGAATCAAAAGAGAAACAAAAAAATAAAAAATAAACATTTTTTTTTAATTTTCAAAAAAAAATTTCCCGAAATTTCTGAAGTTTTGATTCCTTATATGAAGCTAATAACTCCAAAACTAACTTCATTTGATTAATTTATTAATGTCGTTCGAATCACGACTGAAAGGGCGTTAACAAGATATATCACTCAACCAAATCCGATGATTATTTAAGGTAGCTGGTTTTGCGTGGAAAACGAAATGAAATACACCCGAATACAAAGCTCCTACCCATTTTCAATGGTCGGAACAAAAATTTCAAAAATTTTATCCATTTTTTGCTGATTATTTTTTGAATTGTTTATACACCTTTTTTGCTAATGAAAATATAAATGAAGCTTCGAACACCAGTTTTACTGGAGTAAAATGAACTAAAAAAATGTTTCCTTTTATTTTTTCTTATAATAAACACACTGGTTCGCTTTATTTGCACAAATTTAGACTGAAACGGCAAAAATTCAAACCTGGGTTTCTTTTACACAGAACTTTTTAATATCGTTCAACTCACGACTGCTAATAAAAACACAGGTTGCTACCACAACTATTAGAGTAAACCACAACTATTAGAGAAACTCTTTTTTTCCTTTTATCAAACTAAGGTCGTTTTTTAAGCGCGGCGTGGTGAGAGGACCTGAAAGAAAGCTTAGAAGTTAATACACCTTAATTGACTACAGTTGTCTTTCAAAAGGTAAGCAAAAAAAACTTTTTGCTGTTGAACTCAAGTGCCATGGATGCGGAGTGCGGTTAAAATGCAGACAAATTTTATTTCATACCGGTCAAAAAGCAGACAAATACTATATTAACTAATCAGAATCAAGAACAGAAAACAAACTTGGGAAATAAATAATTAATAAATATTTATTTTCTAAGATAGCTTCCCGTTCTCCATTCTGATTGGTTAATACAGTAGTTCTCTACTTTATGACCAGAATACTCTTTGCTACGTAAACCATGGAAGCGCTAGATGAAACTTCTACATAGAGGCGAAGCAACGCATCTCACCACTTGCAATAAAATCCAAATATCGCATGACAAATAACCGACAGAAAAAAAGACGAAGGCAGCAGCAAAACTTTTTTGAAACTGACATTGCAATAAGTTTTCATATCTTTGTCTTGAGTTTGGTTAAATACAGTTCCATTCAAGGAAAACAAGAAAAGGAACTGAATGTTAAATAAGCATAGAAACAAAATTTAAAAAGCGGTAACCAAGTCGACAATTTTTGAGCAGACACCCGTTGAGCCGAAAAAAAAAACAGTTTTCATAAAGAAAAAAATTAATACTCAAAAAACAGTTTTCAAAACCACATCAAATTTTGAAAAGGAGGCCGCTAAGCCCAAATAGTATAAGCCGAACCATTTTAAGTCGATTAAAGAGAAAAAAACTGAAAAAAAATAACTGGTGAATTTGCAATCAACATAAAAAATTTTTGAATAGAACCAGTGTTGGGGTGTTATTGACATCAGTGTTATTTACACTGTTATTAACACATGTTATTAACGTTATTTACACAGCCGTGTTATTAAGTGTGATTTACTTCAGTTTGAAATGCCTGGATCGAACGCTGGTGGAAGGCCCGTGGACGCTATTTGGGAGCATTTTGAACGACTTCCGAGCAACAAGTCCAAATGCAGGGTCTGTGGGCATGAAGCGGCCGCAAATCCTGAGAGGATGAAGAAGCATCATGCCAAACACGCGGATTCTGAGAATCGACCACCGCCCGCAAAGCAGCCCCGAATCACCGATTTTACCGTTTCGACGTCCAAAGACGATAAAGACAAGTTTGATATTTTAGTTGGGCGGTTCTTTTTCGAGAACAATATCGCATTCAACATTGTGGAATCTACAAGCTTTAAAGAGTTATGCTTTGAATCGCTTGCAATCTGACAACATTTGCGCCGCTGAAGCCGTGGAAAGATATTCTACATCCTCAGTATGCTGGGAGAAGATTAACTCCAAAAGAGCTCAAAGACGCCAAAAAACTGGTGGAAGAAAAGTATACCTCTTTGTTGCCAGTCTATGTTGATTTCGTAGCGTAGGGTAAAACTGTCTACATGGAAAACTGGGCTCCTGCATCTGGATGCAAAGTTGAAAACTTCATCAAGTTGAGCAGAGACGAGCAAGAAATTAGCCAAGGACTCGCTGAACTGATGATCACAATGCTTAAATTGATCCCAAGCACGGCTGGTTTGGAACGGGTTTTCTCAACAATGGGTTTTGTACACTCGGACTTACGTAATCGTCTTGGTTCTGAGAAGGTCACAAAACTTGCATTCTGTTTGCGTTCGCTGAAATCTCAAGACAATTGAATTTTTCGCGAATGAATTCTGTTTTTTGAGTAAATCACAGTTATTAACTGTTAAAAACGTTAATAACGTAAATAACGTTAGAAACTCGGGCGAGGGTGTAATAAACCCAACACTGAATAGAACGGGCATTCAAAATGCTAACATGCTCAAAATTTCCATTATTTGACGAAAATACAGATTTTGCAATGTCCACGAATTCGATCGAAGTCATCCTGTGCTATAAGTTATTTCCGGAAAAAAGTCTGGTACCCGCTTTTAACACCCTTGCTTATCGCAAGGGTAAGAACTAGTTTTCCTTTCGTTAAATTAAAATTTTCATAACTTAATTGGCAGATTTTTATAAAAGCAAAAGTTACTCGATCTCTGTTCTCGTTCAAATTGGACCGAAATTCAATTTATAAACCTGTTTTTCTCGACTAATAATTTAGAAACTATTTTCGATCTAGATCAACTACTAAAAAAGCTTCAATTTAGAATATCACTTAACTCGTTCTGATAATTGTTTGAGGCGGAAAAATTGCGTGAAAAAAATGAAACATACCCTTATACCTATTGGTCCGAACAAAACCCTCCCTCAGACAATGAAGTTTTCAGTGATACTCAGGTTTAGATGAATCCCGTGCAATAAACAACCCGCAATGTGTCTTCAACTACTCGGCAATTTCTCCGTTCAAGGACGATAGAGGCCTGCTCCCCGAAGATAACGGAGAGCTATCTTCGCAGAATGAAATAAACTCAATCCCGGACGAGTGCTACATCGGAGCATTCATTGCAATTTCACCCACTTGTTTGCCCGATAAAGATAGTCCTACCAAGTATGTACGAATGTATGCATTTGCCTCTGAGGAACGTCTTTCTGAGGAAAACACTATTTAAAAATATAATATGGCAATTTATTAAAAGTTACCTTCAAAACAAATCGTTACTCTTTCATATTTGAAGGTGTGAAGTGCACAAGATACGCCACCGCACCCGCACCAAGTTGACCAAGTCTGAGGTGGTGTTGCTGAAGTCAATCTACGAGAACACCCCCAGTCCCTCCAAGAGACAATTCGAGGAACTGGCCAACAGCACCGGACTGCCAACCAAAGTCCTTAAGGTTAGTTCAAAGACACATACCTACACGTTTATCATTTCGATCATTCACAATATCTAAGTTTTTCGATTTTTTGGTTCAGGTTTGGTTCCAAAATACGCGCAGACTTCGCCGCAACACGTGTCCCAGGTGCAAAAGAGTATTCGTGACAAACCATCTGTTCGTCAATCACTCCAAACAATGCCATAACAACAACAACTGCAAGCACCCAAAGATCAACTCCTCACCTGAACTAGAAAATTGAAGAAAAAACGTTCTGCAATTTCGGATCTTTTCGAATATCTTCCACAATGCTTAACTTGGATTAGTGCTAGTTTACCGATGGAAGAATGCTTTAAATTATGCATGCTTCCTAAGAAAACACTATGGGTAGCAGGAAATTGTTAAATGTATGTGTAAACTTTTGCCTTCTGATAAAAAAATAAACTTCTGATAATAAACATCATTTCTAAAGCTTTAATTGATGATTTATTGTAACAACATCTACTTAAGAAACATAGCCAACATACAAATAGAAAAATGTCATTGAACTCAAGCTGACCTGACCTTTTTGGAAAATTATCTTCAATGAATAACTTAGACGTTTAAGCCTTTATTCATGAACTTCAAGAAACTGAAGATATTCACGGCTTTTGCTTTTAGAGAGGGTAATATGCTCTCCATATGGCAAATGAGCTGAATTGAATTGAGCTTACAAAAATCAAAGTCATTTCCGAAAAGTCAAATTTAAGTTCAAACAGAACAAAAATCCACGCGAGCTAAGCAGATATCAACTTCGTTCATTGACAGAGGAAAAATTTGTTTTCAAGTGAAGTTTTGAGGATTTCTAGTTTTCATGTAGAACTCGAACACATCTGGAAAAGTTTTGGCCATTTCATCTGTCAGACATTGGTGAAACTTCTTATACACTTCAATCTTGCCTTTCACTTGCTCATTTTTCTCTAAAGCTCTTTCCATCAAGTCTTTGCTGTATAGTTGCGGGTTAGTTCCCTGATCAATATATTGCAACACACTAACAGGAACAGTCACGTCTGAGAACTGGTTTTTACATCTGTCGATCTCTTGCAGGTTATGAACTATGCTGTGTATTTTCTGGTTTAAATTGTTCTGACCTTGAGGTTGGAAATCGGAGACTATTATTGATGTTTGACGGATGTTTTCGATCAGTTCTTCCAAATTCTCTTCCAGTTTCGCAAACCGATCACCGCCGTTCAAATCCATAGCAAAACCAAACGTCAAATCAAACTCTGAAAATGAACGGTTTTTTTCGGGATCGATTGAGCGAGCAATCTCCCCCCATTCTCGCATGGGGGAGAGAGATAGCTCAATAGGTACTTGAGACATCATGAATCAGATTCTTCAACGATAGAAACGCCAAAATTTACAATATCAAAGCTCGAAAATTACATTCACAGTGAAATAAATTTCAATAAAACTGAGGCGACTTTAGTCGCATCAAGCGCCTTTTTTGTCCTAAATGGAAAAAAGCAATTTTTAATGAGCTGCGGAGAACAGTTTTTGATATTCAGATACAAGGCTAGAGCACCCATCCTGGCAAGTCATATTGCTCGATGAGGCAATCGTCGCTCACACAAAAATTTGCAAAAAAAATTGAAATACATGTGATACTAGTTCATAACAAAACTAACTTTGATGTGATACTAGTTCAAAGCAAAAAATAACTGGTTCCTGTCCAAGGCGCACAAAATATTCAGATCACTCGATCAGATCTGTGCACTTGCTTAAAACGATATAATATCTGGACAACATTTAAATAACTTTGAAATGAGATTAGTCTGAAAGCAGCATTATGAGACTATTTTTTAGATATATTTATAAGATTGCCAGTTTAATTATCACGGGTGTATATTAAAGAAAAATTTGAATAAGGTAAAAAGTAAGACTGAGGAGTAATGATCACTAAATCACATTACACAAGTACACTAACACGTAAGAATTTTTGTAATAATCCAACAATGTGAACAAAAATGTTCCAATAAGTCGGAGGGAACTTAAAACGGAATCAAAAATCAAACCGCTACGGCGCAAAAAATTTTCAGACTTTTTACTAAAATTCACAAAAAGAAACAGACATAACTGAGCGTTTTCAATTAGTTAATGAACACTTATATTAACATACGGCTAACATAGACGATGGAGGTGCTAATTCAAGCTTCATAAATAACAGCCTTATTAACAATCAAAGAAAAACTCGGACTATTAAGGTAATTGCGGCTCTAGAAATGAAACATCATCATCATCACAGTTGTTTTATGCACTTTTTCTTTTATTCAAAATTGCTGTATCCTCATTTCAGTCATATTGTCCACAATATTCACTGTATATCGTCAATCGCATCTTTAAAATTCCCTATCTTTCAAAAAAGCTTAGATTTCTTCAATTTGTAACAAGCAAACATAGCCAACAGCCAGTTGGAAAAGAGTCAATGAACGCAAGTAAACATTTTTTGAAAATGATTTTTAGATAAAAAATTTACCCAAATTGAGAAAACTGGATCAATAGGTTAGCTTTTTAGGAGGCAGAATGTTTAGCTGAGAAACGGTCGCGTTGTTCTTTTTACCTTCGCTGAACAAACTTTCTAAATCTTTCGCCTTCAAAATGGCCTTTCTGCAAAAGCTTTCTTCAACCAATTTAAATGATGGAAATTCTATTCGATCTCTATTAGAACAATTAATTATACAAGTTGATACCCAACAAAATGAGATTATCGGGTTACGGGACGAAAATGACAGGCTATTAAACGACAACTACTAACTGGAAAAACGAGTTACCAAATTGGAGAGGTATTCATCTTACATGTGTTTAAATTTTCATTGAATATCTGACGGAGGTGAGTATCCAGTACAATAAATCGTGAGGATCTTAAGGTCAGTTGAAATTTTCATTGAGCCCCAGGATATCGCAGCGTGCAAATATCTGCCCGGAAAGAAAGGTAAAAATCGACAAATTATTGCAAAGTTTTTGTATAACCATCAAAGCGATGCCGTTTGCAACAAAAGATTTGATTTATGGGACGAGTGGACGGGGGGTAAAAGTCATGTTAATGAAAGGTTAGCTGAAAAAGACTGTAGACGAGAAACAAATCTCCTGACGTCAACGCATAACACCAAGTACTAATCAAGATACCAAATAGTGATACATGGAAATGGAAACCAGTTGAAAAGCGAAAAGAAGTCGATGTATTTATGGCTAATGATATTAGCTCGCACAGTGCAAGTCACAATGTCCCCACTAGTGGCGAAAGAGACTTTCGTGTGCCTCATTATTCCCAAATCAACTAAAATTATTCTTCATCTATTGGAGCACCTGGAAAAAGAAAACGAAATGTGGCCTTAAATTCTCCTAGCAGTCAATACAATCAAAGCAATGGTATACATGAGGAGAAAATAGACAAGTTAGGTTGCCTTAGTGAAAAATTGATCGAAAGAAACTCTCCACACACAAAAAAGTTTTCTGCTTTTGGCTACGATATGATTGATGATACTACTATGAGCAGCAACGAAAAGGAACAAAATGATTCGTAGAAAGAGATTATTTTCAAAAAAGGAAATAACAATTTTTGTGTTTATTTTCTAATGGGTAACGACGGGGATTTGTTTTTTCTAAATGTACAATCATTGCGTAGCCATCATGACCAACTGAGAGTACTTGTTGCTTCACTAAACCGACAACCATTGGTCATTGCCATTTGTGAAACCTGGCTAAGCGACAATGACCCATTGAATTTGTATCATTTAGATGGGTATCAAAAAGGAATTTTTGTAAATAGACAAAATAGCAGGGGAGGGGGTCTGGCACTTTTTATTAAAAATAAAATCAATTATTCTCATTAAATTCTGTCGAATGACATTGTGAAGATTTTGTTAACTTTGAATTTTGGCAAAAAGCTGACTTTAAACATTTGTTTACTGTACCGACAACCATCAATGAATTTCAGACAATTTTTATCGCAATTTGAAAATTTACTTTTGGATTTGAGTTCGAAAAACATTGATCATTCAATGATTGTTGGTGATATGAATATTGACACTTTAGGTACGCGCGTAATTGTCATAATATTGATGAATATCAATTGCTACTGAGCTCTTTTGGTAACTCAATATCAAATAGTGAAGCAACAAGACAAACTCATGCAAGTTCTACTTGTATTGATCATTTCATTAGTGAGGTTCACCTAAATGTCACTACTCTGAAAACATCACGGAGCGATCATTATGCTTTAGTTGCACCTATAGCAAATTTTTTAGAAGACATCCAGTCTATGAATATTCAATGACGAAATTTCAAATTTTTGCAAAAAGAAGAAAATGTTTTGAAGTTTTTGTTGGTTATTGACCAAAATTTAAAGAATTGCGGGGAAAGATATTGATTAAATGCTAAATAATTTGAAAAAAACATGTTTGGAAGTATTTGATCGGTTCTCTCCCCTCCGAAAATTGTCAAAGCGTTATCAAAAAACATGGATAACCCCAGATATTATTGAAATGTGCAAGAAAAGAGACTCATTACATGCAAAAATGGTTTTAAAAAAAATCCAGCTCAAGAAAATATTGAGTTTTAGAATATTTAAAAAAACGGTGAAACTGGCCATAAGACGTGCTCAACGAAAATATCACGATAAAAAAATCGAAGATTCGTCATCAAAACAAATGTCTCAAGTTTTTAACAACTTTTGTGGAAATGAAAAAGTAGCCCAATCGGAGGTTGAACCAAATACCCAGAATGGTTTTTTTGTGAGTATTGGAATACATCTTAGCGAATCTATACCCTCAGCTGGATCAGCCTCAAGGCATTTGGAAAAAAAATCCTTTTAGTTTTGTAATTTTTTAAACTGATGGACACGAAATCAACAAAATTATCACTGCTCTTAAACCAAAATCTTCTTGCGGTCATGATGGGCTATGAACAACAATGGTGTGCACCGGTCATCTCTGTTTTCTTGGCTATACCAATAAAATCATATGATCTTCTGGTATGTGGTAGTACTGGCAAAACAAATCTGGAAAAGTTTATTTATTTCAGAAAAGGATACTGCGAACAATTTTCTTTAAACGAAAATTTGAACATATTACTTCGAAATTAAATAAACTTGGTTTAGAAACAGTTCATGAAATCTATTTAAATCAATTGTTCAAAGAGACAATTTTCCAATGCCTAAAACGTTCTCCATTAGACTATCTGAATATTAATAAATTTAGTTATCGAAGAAGTACACGTTCTACCTCAAATGGAATGATTCTCTTTTACCGCTGCAAAACAAAAATGATGGAAAATTCACTCTCTTATAAAAATTTTTTTTGATGTCAAATAGGCTAACAGATAACATTGAAACTTACTCTGATGAGAAACTGTCAAACTTTTTAAAAAATTTCCAAGGAGAACTACATTATTGATAATGTACAGCTGATCGACAATTTTTTCTAATTAGCATGAACTGATCTTTGTCGTTGCTTAATTGTAAGTTATCTCGGGGGTAGCTACTTGTTAGGCTGAACAGCCTGTTCTAGCTATGCAGTGAATGATTTTGCTGCAGTGAATGATTTTGCAGATTGCACTTTCTTCACTGTATCGAATAAACGATTTCAGCTTTTTCGCTAAATCTGATAATTAAATTCCATTTGCGAAACTAGAAGTCGATCATATTTTTCGTGACTTTAACACTATAGCTGTTTGATAGTGGAGTTTGCCTTCCTGAAAAAAAAAACGAAAAAAATCATCACGACCTATTTAAGAGTCTGGACTATGTTCATCGACTCTTATTAGATAAAATGCACTAAAAGCTAAGATTTGGCTTATTAAAATAGCAATATAAAATCAATGAGAACAAAAAAAATACTGGAACCAAAAAAACACTGATTCAAAGCTTTCAGCAATAGAAACAAAGTCATCTGTTATCTCAAAACTATTATCAATCAAAATGGTTTAACTATATACATTATACACTTTTTCACAAAAATGATCTCAAATAATATGATGTTGGGATAATACTGCAATGCAATTTAGTTTACACAAAAATGAGGTTTATTTACAATTATACACAGTTTAAATTACATCACATAAATCACACATCCTATTTTTGTCTTCTTTTTTAGCAATCAACCTATACGGAGTTGGATTAATTTCCTTCAAAAAATGAGGAATTCTTGATTTCAAGAAACAAGTTGAACAACACGTGAAGAGATTGCAATCTGTTCGGTTTT